GTGTCCGGGCAGGGTCGCTGGGCAGGGGATTGCCCACCCGAGGCCGTGGCCCGGAGAGCGCACATCCCTGCTGCAGACGCGCTGTGGCTAAGGCCACGCACGGTTTCTGCTTCCCTCCCGCCGCCAGGACATCACCAGCCTGCTGCACACCATCTACGAGGTGGTGGACTCCTCCGTCAACCACTCCCCGACGTCCAGCAAGACGCTGCGGGTGAAGCTCACCGTGGCCCCCGACGGGAGCCAGGGCAAGAAGAGCATCCTTCTCAACCACCCCGGTGAGGGGCGGGCCCGGGCGCTGGCGCTGGGAGCTACCCTGCGGGCAGGTGGGGTTGTGGCAGGTCCTTGAGGGGGTGGGGTTTGGGTAGAGAGAGGATTCCAGGTGGAAGGCCCGAGGGAGCACAGCACGGCTGGGCACGTGTGTGGCCGGCAGCCAGGGCAGAGGCTGTGTTGTGTTGTGATGGGTGGGCCGGCCGTGGAGCCCAGCCCTGCAGTGTGGGGAGGAGCTGAGCAGGACGGGTGGCTGTGAGACCCCTCGGTCTGGTCCTGGCTGTGAGGAGCCTGGCCACCGAGCCATTGGGCAGCTGCCGGGGCCAGCAGCTTGGAAAACCTGGGCAGGACCCGGAGGCCGGCGGGAACGGGATGGAGCCGCTCACCGGGCTGTGTCTTGGGCGGGACTCAGACCTGCAGAGCACCAGGCCCAGAGCGGAGACCAAGCCGGCGGAGGAGCTGCGGAGCTGGGACAAGAAGCAGCGAGCCCCCCTCAGGTACGGCGGGCAGGGCGGGCCGGGCAGCCAGGGCACCTGAGCACCGTTAAGCACCAGCTGTGTACCTGCGTCTGAGGGATCCCGAGCAGGAGGCTTCCGCCTGCACTCTCTTCAGGGGCAGTGATTTCAGGCGACAGGCTCACAAAGTTTGATTTTTAAAAATAACTGAGTATTGCCCGACCGGCGTGGCTCAGTGGTTGAGCGTTGATCTGTGAACCAGGAGGTTGCAGTTGATTCCCCGTCAGGGCACAGGCCCCGGGTGCAGGCTCCATCCCCAGTGGGGGGCGTGCAGGAGGCGGCCGGTCCATGATTCTCTCTCATCATTGATGTTTCTCTCTCTCTCTCTCCCTTCCTCTCTGAAATCAATAAAAAATTTCTTTTAAAAATTAAAAAATAACTGAGTATAGGTCTACATTGCTTTATCCAAACGCTTTAGGCCAGAGAGGGTTGGCATTTGGCGTTTGCTGGTTTGCACAGGTGCTCAGGGTGTATTCCTTACGTGTGATTTTGGGGTCTGGGCGGCATTTCAGGGTTTTGCACGTTGGCGTTTCTGCGGGCAGACGTACGAGGACCCACACCAGGTGGCATAAAGACCATGGCTGCCCTCTCCTCGCTTAGGGCCGGCGTGGCTGCCCAGGGGGTTAGGAAAAGCCCTTGCTTTCAGGCACTGGGGCTTCGGGACTGCACACGAGGCCTTCACTGTGGCTGCAGTCCCTTTCCCCGGTGCTGGTTCTTTAACTTCCAGGAGGGAAGGAAGGGAGGTGGGAGGGGAAGGGGGCTGTTTAGGAAGCATGGAGCGCAGGGCGGTGAAGCGCAGGGCTGTCTGAGACAGGAGGTACGCTGATTCCTAAGTGAACATGGAAGCAAAGTTCTGGACTTAGAGAGGCAGCAGCACAGGGAACAGAGAGAAGGGGGACGCACGGGGCTCTGCGTGATGTGGGCAGGGGCTGACGATCACAGGTACCTGGGCTGGCTGCAGGTGGGGGGCTCTGCTGGGGAGAGGGGGGCCGGGAGGGGGTTCGTGCAGATCACCGAGGCCCTGTGGGAGGAAGGTGGCCTCCGGCGGCGCCTCTCGCCCCGCCCTTCCATGCACACACAGGGAAGGCCCGCTCGGGGCCCTGGGCTCTGGGGCAGGTGCCAGCCTCAAGTCCCCTGGCTGGGGGGCTTCTGCCCCCACACCCTCTGGGGAGCAGGTGGGAGCTAGGCCACCTGTCTGGGGTGTGCAGCAGGCACACGGGGCTTGAAGTCTGGCTTTGGGGCACCCTTACGTGTCGACCAGTAACCCCTGACCCCTGCTTTGGGCCTGTTCCTTCAAGAAAGCCCGGGGAGGCCAGACCGGGGTTTGTCTCCATGGACCACTCCCTCCCTCACACCCTCCCCAGGACCAGAGGGAAATCAGCAAAGGGTCCAGGAGGATTTGTCCCGTGGCTTCCCGCCACCCCAGGGCCCCGGGCCAGCACCCGCCACTCACTTGCCTTCCTGTGACAGGTTCCAGGGGGACAGCCGTCTGGAGCAGCAGGGCTGCTACCACCATTGCGTGGATGAGAACATTGAGAGGAGAAACCACTATTTAGATCTCGCTGGGATAGAGAACTACACGTCCCAGTTCGGGCCTGGTAAGGCGGGCTGAGGGGAGGCGTGGCCAGGCCGGCAGGTGCGTCAGGCGGGTAATGGTCACCATCCCCCCTGGGCTGGGGGAAGGCATGGCTTGGATGGGACAGGTTCCAGATGTTATTGGAGGCGATGACATTAAAAACCTTAAAAAAAAGTAAAGGAATGCCCGGCTGGCGTGGCTCCGTGGCTGAGCATTGACTCATGAACCAAGGGGTCGCTGGTTCGATTCCCGGTCAGGGCACATGCTCAGGTTGTGGGCTCGATCCCCGATTGTGCAGGAGGCAGCCGGTCCATGATTCTCTCTCGTTGATGTTTCTATCTTTCCCTCTCCCTTCCTCTCTCTCTAAAAATCAAAGTATATTTAAAAAAATAATTAACACAGGCACAAAGCGAACCAAATCAGAGAGTATCTGAGGGCTTATAACACAGTGAAGACCAGTCGTCCCACACCCACCCTGCCCTCCTGCCCTGCGCCCCTCTCCGCCCAGGGAGGACCCCACTTCCCTAGCTCTGTCTGTATCAGCTCTGCTGTCCCAGCTCTCGTCCCAGCTCTCGCTGAGACGATGGGACAGGTTCCAGATGTTATTGGAGGCGATGACATTAAAAACCTTAAAAAAAAGTAAAGGAATGCCCGGCTGGCGTGGCTCCGTGGCTGAGCATTGACTCATGAACCAAGGGGTCGCTGGTTCGATTCCCGGTCAGGGCACATGCCCAGGTTGTGGGTTCGATCCCCGATTGTGCAGGAGGCGGCCGGTCCATGATTCTCTCTCGTTGATGTTTCTATCTTTCCCTCTCCCTTCCTCTCTCTCTAAAAATCAATAAAAGTATATTTAAAAAAATAATTAACACATGCACAAAGCGAACCAAATCAGAGAGTATCTGTGGGCTTATAACACAGTGAAGACCAGTTGCCCCACACCCACCCTGCCCTCCTGCCCTGCGCCCCTCTCCACCCAGGGAGGACCCCACTTCCCTAGCTCTGTCTGTATCAGCTCTGCTGTCCCAGCTCTCGTCCCAGCTCTCGCTGAGACCAATTAGAATGGAGCTCAGATAACTTCACCCCCCCCCATGCTGGGTTTCTGGGGTTACCTTGGAAGTTGAGGAACAGGCCTGCAGGTCTCCTTCATGCCCCAGGACCCCAGATGGGCACCCTCTCTGCCTCCCTCTCGTTCGCAGCTCTCCCTAGGGAGGGGAATTCTGTTTAAAGACCCCACACAGACACAGTTCTTCCCACTTAGCAGATGGCAGGGCTCCACTGCAGAGCGCTGTCCCCGAGGCCAGGAGGAGGCGGGGAGACGGGACTCTGATAAAGGACAGCCGGCCTTCCTCAGTCTCGGCGAACGGGCTTGAGGTGGTCTGTGGGGCACAGTGCAGCGCCGCGCACAGTAGGTGCTCATGAAATACCTGTCGCATTGCTTCCTAGGCTCCCCGTCCGTGGCCCAGAAGTCAGAACTGCCCCCCCGCACCTCCAACCCCACGCGGTCTCGCTCCCACGAGCCCGAAGCCGTCCACGCCCCCCACCGAAAGCCCCCAGGTGCAGACCCAGGCTCCTCCCACGGCCTTGACACCCCGTTCGCCAAGGTCCCGGAGGCCCAGCAGCGGCTCCGGGGCGCCCAGGACGGGAGCAAGCACTTTGTGAGGTCCCCCAAGGCCCAGGGCAAGAA